CTCTCCATGTTTCGGGATCCCCATGAGGCTCGAGGTTTGTGTGTTCTCTCGCTAATCCATTCATAAATATATTGAACATCCATGGTGACATCATACATCTCTGTCTAAGGCCAGCTTTTACTGGGAAATAATCTCCCTCGCTCCTACACACTAACCTGAACCTCACCATCCTCATTAAGGCTCTTCATTGCTTTCAATAACCTATCTCCTATTACATACATTTGCAACATCTGCCACATTGCTCCCCTACCTATCCACCATATCATACGCCTTTTCCAAATCCATAAATACCACAAAAACCTCTTTACCCTTATCTAAAAACTGTTCATCTAGATGTTTCATTCCAAACACTTGGTCTACATACCCTATCTTTCCTAAAGCTTCTTTGTTCATGTACAATCCTGCTCACCGTCTTAAACTTAAAAATTCCTTCAATAATAACTCTACCATACACTTTACCAGGTATACTCAACAGATTTATTCCTTGTTGTTTCCAGAGCACTACTTAAGCATGTTTCGCTTTCTAGCAACAAATGAACAGAAATGAATATCCCGTTCTAAACGAAATCTTTCATGGGTTCAATAGGAAACTATTAAGGATGCTTCTTTCTGGTTTTTATTTAGTTTCTTAATAAACCAGAGAAGGGTTTTATATTATTTCTTTAAAATCGAATACTCATTAGAAATTTACTTCGAGTTCGCTTAATAAGATTGTATACCATATTCTGTCTTTATTATAACACTGAATGGTTCTAGAATCACAAGACACTCAACTTATATAATACAACTCTTTGCTTGGCTCAGTCTCAATGAGTCAGAACACATAACACTTTAATAATTCACTTGTACACTGTAGCGTGTCGAGGACATTGTGTATTGACTACTCTCTCATGATTCGTAACAGCTTTTATAACACACTAAGTGAGATTAGGTATGTTCTACCCATGAAAGAGTTCGTTAGGTGAGTCTGTCTCCAAGACTTTCTCACAATCCTCTTTGAACAAATGCCATTTAAACACACTTCATGTAGAGATACAGACACTCATAAGTGTCTCAAACAGCAACGCACACTCCACCAGAGAGACTTCTACTTGATACCAAGGTTCTGGGGGGGTTATCACTAGGGAACCTCAAGTGGGGCCAGAATTCTAACTCCAACAAGAGAGAAGCTTCTCTCACCAAAGGTGAAGGTGAACTGCACCATACCAGACCATCCAGACAGACGTCACCTCGGACAGAGTTGGGGTTGGTGACTAAACGTCAGTCGGGTACTTAACAGCTGTATGAACATAAGAACATAAGAAAGAAGGAACACTGCAATAGGCCTACTGGCCTACTGGCAGCTCCAATTCTCCTACCGGCTTAAGCCAATGCCTTGACCTAGTGAAGTCAGACACGTCACTTAAGGAAGGAGCAGTGCATCCGACCTAGTAGCACAAGCTAGTCAGGTCCAACTCACACTCACCCACCCTCACTCATGTATTTATCCAACCTATTTTTAAACAACACAACGTCTTGGCGTCTATGACGGTACTCAGGAGTTTGTTCCACTCATCCACAACTCTGTTACCAAACCAGTGCTTTCTTATATCCTTCCTGAATCTGATTTTTTCCAATTTAAAGCCATTTCTGCGAGTCCTGTCTATGTTAGATATTGTTAGCATACTGTCTACATCCCCTTTATTAATTCCTGTTTTCCGTTTATACACCTCAATCATATCCTCCCTAATTCTATGCCTTTTAAAAGAGTGCAGATTCAGGGACCTCAGTCTATCCTCATAGGGAAGATTTCTGATACATGGTATCAACTTTGTCATCCTCCTTTGTATGTTTTCCAGTGCATTTATATCCATTCTGTAATAAGTACGAGTACTTTGGATCACCGAAACATCCTATCTACTCACACAGCCAAATATATTAAGGTCAGGTAATATTATGAAGTACCATATCTTCAGGTAATATTATGAAGTACCATATCTTCAGGTAATATTATGAAGTACCATATCGTCAGGTAATATTATGAAGTACCATATCTTCAGGTAATATTATGAAGTACCATATCTTCAGGTAATATTATGAAGTACCATATCGTCAGGTAATATTATGAAGTACCATATCGTCAGGTAATATTATGAAGTACCATATCGTCAGGTAATATTATAAAGTACCATATCTTCAGGTAATATTATGAAGTACCATATCTTCAGGTAATATTATGAAGTACCATATCTTCATTTTAGCTTTGAAAAAGAAAGAGATATTATAATATTAAGTGAAATAGCCAGTTAAACATATACATAATACGCCAGCAGGGGAGGGGCTTCCTTGGAGGGACGTAACATTTCCCCATAATTATTACACTCTTTTCTCTCCCCTTTGCCTTCATACAAAGGAACTATGCATGCTCTCTGCCAATCCCTAGGTTCATTACCCTCTTCCTTACATTTATTAAATAAATCATTAACCACTACAAGACTATTTCCCCACCTGGTTTTAACATTTCTATCTTTATCCCAACAATCTCAGCTGCTTTTCTCCTTTCATTCTATGCATTGCTCCACGCACTTCTCCCACACTCATAACCGGTGCTTCTTCACTCCTATAAGATGTTATTCCTCCTTGCCCTATACACGAAATTACAGCTTCCCTATCTTCATCTGTATTTAACAATTCCTCGAAATATTCCCTTCCCTAAACCTCTAACTCTCCATTTAATAATTCTCTTTTAATATTTTTAACAAACAAATCCATTCGTTCCCTAGGCTTCCTCAACTCATTAATCTCACTTGAAAACTTTTTCATATTTCCAACAAAATTTATTGATAACATCTCACTCACTTTCTCATTTGCTCTCTTTTTACATTGCTTCAAAAAGTCTCTGACCCTGTCTTCTTCTCTCCATGTACTCCTCCCTCCTTGCATCACGTATACTTTGTAAAAACCTCTCATATGCTAACTTTTTCTCCCTTACTACTCTCTTTGCATCATCATTCCACCAATTGTCCTTCTTCCCTACCGCTGCACCCACTTCTTCCCTCCCGCTGCACCCACTTCTTCCCTCCCACTGCACCCACTTCTTCCCTCCCACTGCACCCACTTCTTCCCTCCCGCTGCACCCAATTCTTCCCTCCCGCTGCACCCACTTCTTCTCTCCCGCTGCACCCACTTCTTCCCTCCCGATGCACCCAATTCTTCCCCCCGCTGCACCCACTTCTTCTCTCCCCGCTGCACCCACTTCTTCCCTCCCGCTGCACCCAATTCTTCCCTCCCACTGCACCCACTTCACTTCTTCCCTCCCACTGCACCCACTGCTTCCCTCCTGCTGCACCCACTTCTTCCCTCCCACTGCACCCACTTCTTCCCTCCCGCTGCACCCACTTCACTTCTTCCCTCCCGCTGCACCCAATTCTTCCCTCCCGCTGCACCCACTTCTCTCCCACTGCACCCACTTCTTCCCTCCCGATGCACCCATTCTTCCCCCCGCTGCACCCACTTCTTCTCTCCCGCTGCACCCACTTCTTCCCTCCCGCTGCTCCCAATTCTTCCCTCCTGTTGCACCCAATTCTTCCCTCCCGCTGCACCCACTTCTTCCCTCCCGCTGCACCCACTTCTTCCCTCCCGCTGCACCCACTTCTTCCCTCCCACTGCACCCACTTCTTCCCTCCCGCTGCACCCACTTCTTCCCTCCCGCTGCACCCAATTCTTCCCTCCCGCTGCACCCACTTCTTCTCTCCCGCTGCACCCACTTCTTCCCTCCCGCTGCACCACTTCTTCCCTCCCGCTGCACCCAATTCTTCCCTCCCGCTGCACCCACTGTCTTCCCTCCTGCTGCACCCACTTCTTCCCTCCCGCTGCACCCACTTCTTCCCTCCCGCTGCACCCACTTCTTCCCTCCCGCTGCACCAACTTCTTCCCTCCCACTGCACCCACTTTCTTGTAACCACAAACTTCTTCTGAATACTATATTCTTAAACTTACCCCATTGCCCTACCCTATTGCCTATACTCACACTAGGTCATCTGTCCTCCAACAGTTGTTTATATCTTACCCTAACTGCCTCCTCCTTTAGTTTATATAACTTCACCTCTTTCTTAATTGCTGCTTCCATTTTCCTTGTATCCCATCTACCTTTTACTCTCACTGTATCTACAACTAAAAAGTGATCTGCTATAACTGTGGCCCCTCTATAAACATGTTCATCCTGAAGTCTACTCAACAGTCTTTTATCTACCAATATGTAGTCCAACAAACTACTGTCAGTACACCGTATATCATATCTTGTATATTTATTTATCCTCTTTTTTCTTAAAATATGTGTTACATATAACCAAACCCTTTCTATACAAGATTCACCTACCACACCCTCTCTAAACGCTTCTCATACTTTAGGATTTAGTTCCTCTACCACAATTACTCTGTCACTTGGCTCAAATGTTCCTACACACTCGCTTAACATCTCTCTAAATCTTTCTCTCTCCTCTACACTCCTCTCTTCTCCAGGTGTATACACACTTATTATGACACACTTCTCACATCCGACCTTTATTGTAATCCACATAATTCTTGAATTTATACATTTATATTCCCTCTTCTCTTTACATAACTGATCTTTACACATTATTGCTAACACTTCATTAACTCTAACTCTTACAGGTATTCCTGACTTTATCCAATTTATTTCTCCTCACTGAAACTCCCTTACCCCTTCAGGTTTGTTTCGCCTTGGGCTATGACAACCAACTTCTCTTCATGCATAACATTAGCAATAATTTCTTTACTATCTTCCACACTATGTTCGCGCACATTCAAACATCCCTATTTTATAAATGTAAAATAAAATTTACGAAAAAAATAAAAATCTAACATTAGTACGTCCTTCGACAGTTTCAAGTTGTCTTCCTCGCTGCTTCTTTTTTACGAGTCTGAGAAATTGGATGTACCTAAATGAGGTAAACATAATTTAAGTAAAAACTATTGATCTAACATCATTGATGACTCACTGAGCTTTCTCGAGGGAAGAAATACTTGTTATGCAAAGTCATGACGTCGTCTAGATCAGCTGGGCCCAGCACCGCATAGTTCAGCGCAGGAACCTCACTCATCCTGACTCAGCACCTTCTTTGTCCTGTGTGTGAGATATTTTAAGTAATTAACACTGCAAATTATTCACTACCCTACCAGTACTGTATGAAAAATTAATCAATTTTAACTATGTGAAGTTAATGTTTGTTTAATATTATATTTGATTTATATTATTGTACAGAATTTTGAACTTACGGCTGCTTCAAATACATTTGGTAATAAACATCTCATCACTGTGTGACTCACATCTCCGTCATCTTGGTGTTAACAACAATGTTTACTGATCCATCTTACCCCACATCTCTCACTTATTCTTACCATCTATTCTTAGGTGGAGTAAAGTCAGTACCTGACCAGCCGGGTTATGGTTCATACGTTGGTTTGCAGTAACAGCCTGGTTGATCATACTTTGACCCACCATGAGGCCTGGTAACAAACCGGGTCATGGGGGCGTTGACCCCCGAAACCCTCTCTAGGCATAGTTCAGGTATACAACTCCATCACAATAACAAAAAAATAACAGCAACAATTTGAACAATCAAAAGAAGAATAACAATAACAAAAGCAAAAAGAGCAGTAAGAAACTGCTGGTAAAATAACAACAATACAATAACAGCAACAACAAATACATTTACTTCTACTATTTTTTTATAAAATAATAAACATGAGGCACCAAGTACAATCTTTGCTGGAAGATTCTGTCACAAACAACTTTGAATCTTATGTATCATAAATAAATAAAATAAAATATTTTGTTAAATCATATGTGGTAAACTTTACCTGATATATAGGAAAGGTGAAAATAAATCCATGACACAATGTCGGAAGAGGGAAGTAAAATATTTAGTCTACTGATACTCTTAATATTGCCTACTGATACTCTTAATATTGCCTACTGATACTCTTAATATTGCCTACTGATACTCTTAATATTGCCTACTGATACTCTTAATATTGCCTTCTGATAGTTTTAATATTGCCTACTGATACTCTTAATATTGCCTTCTGATAGTTTTAATATTGCCTACTGATAATCTTAATATTGCCTACTGATACTCTTAATATTGCCTACTGATACTCTTAATATTGCCTTCTGATAGTTTTAATATTGCCTACTGATACTCTTAATATTGCCTTCTGATACTCTTAATATTGCCTACTGATACTCTTAATATTGCCTTCTGATAGTTTTAATATTGCCTACTGATACTCTTAATATTGCCTTCTGATAGTTTTAATATTGCCTACTGATATTCTTAATATTGCCTACTGATACTCTTAATAATGCCTACTGATACTCTTAATATTGCCTACTGATACTCTTAATATTGCATACTGATACTCTTAATATTGCCTACTGATACTCTTAATATTGCCTACTGATATCCTTAATATTGCCTACTGATACTCTTAATATTGCCTACTGATACTCTTGATATTGCCTACTGATACTCTTAATATTGCCTACTGATATTCTTAATATTGCCTACTGATATCTTAATATTGCCTACTGATACTCTTAATATTGCCTACTGATACTCTTAATATTGCCTACTGATACTCTTAATATTGCCTACTGATACTCTTAATATTGCCTACTGATATCCTTAATATTGCCTACTGATACTCTTAATATTGCCTACTGATACTCTTGATATTGCCTACTGATACTCTTAATATTGCCTACTGATATTCTTAATATTGCCTACTGATACTCTTAATATTGCCTACTGATACTCTTAATATTGCCTACTGATACTCTTAATATTGCCTACTGATACTCTTAATATTGCCTACTGATACTCTTAATATTGCCTACTGATATTCTTAATATTGCCTACTGATACTCTTAATATTGCCTACTGATACTCTTAATATTGCCTACTGATACTCTTAATATTGCCTACTGATATTCTTAATATTGCTACTGATACTCTTAATATTGCCTACTGATACTCTTAATATTGCCTACTGATATTCTTAATATTGCCTACTGATACTCTTAATATTGCCTACTGATACTCTTAATATTGCCTACTGATACTCTTAATATTGCCTACTAATACTCTTAATATTGCCTACTGATACTCTTAATATTGCCTACTGATACTCTTAAAATAGCATATTGATACTCTTTATACAGCACCATAACTTGTACTACAGTTGGACGAGGGAAGTAACGACTAGACTACTGATACTGCTGAAGGAAGGAAGTTACACCACTAACTTACTGATACCATCAGTCTAGTACCGTAATTTGTACCACAGTTGAAGGAGGCAAGTTAGAACTCTAACCTACTGATACTGTCAGTCTAGTACCGTAACTTGTACCACAGTTGAAGGAGGTAAGTTAGAATTCTAACCTACGGATACTGTCAGTCTAGCACTTTAACTTGTACGACAGTTGAAGGAGGTAAGTTAGAATTCTAACCTACTGATACTGTCAGTCTAGTACCGTAACTTGTACCACAGATGAAGGAGGCAAGTTAGGACTCTAACCTACTGATAGTGTCAGTCTAGTACCGTAACTTGTACCACAGTTGAAGGAGGGAAGTTACACCACTAACCTACTGATACTGTCAGTCTAGTACCGTAACTTGTACAACAATCGCAAGTTTTATTTGCTTTTTCTTAACAGTTAGATTTTTGTTGTCCAGGCACATGATTTTAATTAGATGAATACCTAAAACATAAAAAAAAACTAAATTAAAACATCAAGGCTGGAAAATGTAAGATGGACTATTTCCTAATATTCTCCTAATGGTGCAAGTAGTGCTGCCTCAATGTTTTCGGAGAAGGGATTGGCTAAAATTAGGTCTAAACTTTAATATCCAAAATTTTTATACCGGGTAGACATATTCGCCGACATATATGTAAGTCCAGGGTTAGGAAATTGTATAAGTCAGGCAGATGATTTTAAGTAGAGGATTATTTGTTAAGCACAGAGGTATAAGTCAGGCAAAGAGGTATAAGTTCGGCATAGGGCTGTAAGTCAGGCAAAGAGGTATAAGTTCGGCATAGGGCTGTAAGTCAGGCAAAGAGGTATAAGTTCGGCATAGGGGTATAAGTCAGGTAGAGAGGCATAAACTATATTAACTTATTTTATACCAACAACATTACAAACTGATGAAGAGAATAAGTAACATTTGGAAATATAATGTAACAGATATGGTTTAATTGTGGAAATTAACTGTTAGTAAACAATCTTTGTGGAGACCTGGAGAGAGTTCCGGGGGTCAACGCCCCCGCGGCCCGGTCTGTGACCAGGCCTCCTTAGGTCAGTGTCCCAGGATGCGACTCACACCAGTCGACTAACACCCAGGTACCCATTTTACTGATGGGGAACATAGACAACAGGTGGAAAGAAACACGTCCAATGTTTCTACTCTGGCTGGGAATCGAACCCAGGCCCTCACCGTGTGAAGCGAGAGCGTTAACCACCAGGCCACCTGTGGTGTGAGAAGCTTCGCCTCCAGCCCACGACTGAAGGAGACGCAACCGTTTTGCTAGACTACTGTGAGTGCTGGACGCCGCTCTATCAACCAGGGTACTTTGACTGGTGGATGCCGCTCTCTCAACCAGGGCACTGTGACTGGTGGACGCCGCATAGTGACATAAGTTACGTCTGCATAAATAATTCATTACCATTGTAATCAGCTGTAAATACGTAAACATTTAAACTTTGCGGCCCAGTCCCTGAACTCATTATGTTTTTCTGTAATATTTTTGACTAATGTCCACAGGATGGGTATGGGGTGCATAATAATGATATTAAACTAACATAATTCCTTCATGTAATATCACAAACGTTTATTCTTGACCATGTTATCCAAGCAAATTATGAGAACCCATCAGAAATTGTGAAGAAAGTAAATGTAAAGTACTAAAGTATAACTCCGAGGAATAGACAAACAGAACACTTAAATCAGTTTAATATATTAAGGCAGACAGTAGTGATTCCCTTACGACGACTTCTCTTCTTTTACAAAATGTAGAGCAAATAAACTTCCCTTTGTTACTAGAGAAATACAGGCACGTCTAGACACCTCACAGAGTCTTCAGACACTAGACAAATTTTTGGAATAATTACTTGAGGACAAAACCATTCATATAAATTCCTGATTCTACAGTTCTGACTGTTGCAAGATGTTCCTCAACGTTATACATTAGGCCGAAAATATAATGTTGATGTTCAAGATGTTGATCCTATCGAGCAAACTGTACAGAATCAGTCACATGAAACAGAAAGTTCTGTAACATGAAACAAACTGTTAATTGAAACATTTGCTAATTAAAAAAAATAAGAATACGTGGGTTTTATCAAGCATCATGTTACCTAAACCTGATGGTACTGAGAGAATGTGTACCTACCACCGCAAGGTGAATGTTTACTTTCCCTGAGGGTTAACCTCTACCTATCATTGATTGCATTACTGATCGAGTTGCAGTGCCATTTATGTTATTCATCTGGATCTACTTCCCACTAAGTGGTACCAAGTACCACTTAGTGTAATAGAATTTTTCTGCTTTCATTGTGTATAATGGTCTCTCCTACTACCTCGTGACATCTTATAACTTCAGAAACACATCAGCCTCGTTCCAACAAATGATGCAGCAGTTAATGGAAGATATGGAATGGGTTGAGGTTTATCTGTATGACTTGGAGGTCTTCAGCGACTACTGGAAGCTACACCTTCTTCACCTGATGAAAATGTTTAATGAAAACTTGCGATGTATAATTTCAATGTAAACAGAGTAAAGTGTAACTTAACCTTGGTACAAATAAAATTTCTTGTTCAAGAAGTAGGTCAGGTTCAAATTACTCTAGCAGAGGCTAAAGAAGCCATTATTGCACAGTTTTCAGCCCATAGACATAATGGGTTTCTGTAGAAGGCTTCCTCCCAGTTGTATGAAACGTCGTGAAGTTTAAGCGACAGTATGGAGACTTATATACTGTCAGAAGGAGAGGTGTAGTCCACTAGTAGAAAAAAAAAATTATTCACTGAGAGGTCGAGTCCCTATCAAATCCAATCATTCATACTT